TTTTATTTTCCATCCGGCTGGCCGCGCGGTGCCATGAGGCCTCAGCGGTTCAACGCCTCGACTAGTCGACAGTCGCAACAGCAATAGGCGGCCATCATGAGGACTGCTTAGCAGAGCTCACGGAAGTCCATCAACAACTACGAGGACTGGAGTGGACCAAGTGGCCTTACGAGAAAAGCCGCGAATGACCGAAAAGTAACAAAAAAGGGAGGAAAGCGAATACGTCCGAAGGAACGGCCAGCTACTGTCGAAGAAGTAGAACAGACCGCAAAAGAGCTGGCAGAGAAGAAAGAAATAAAAAGTATAGCTAAGGGAATAGAGACGTTTCGCAGAGAAATGTTCAAGAATCTTGAGAACACTTAGGCGGGCTGGCCTGTGACGATCGTCCTCGTAATTATTACTGGCGATTCTTTTGCCGTTGCCGTTGCTGTTGCTGCTACGATAAATGTGAACAGACTGCAATGAATACTCCCGTTGTTGTCAATGTGTTATTGATTGAAGGGCTGGCTAGCTGGCGGGATGCTGCTTAAGAGTGAAATTAAGGCACCACGCATTCGGTTAACTAACCGCGCATTGTGGTCTTTGCTTTCCCTTGAGAGGTCAACTCCGCCCCGGTTCTTAGGCCATTGCTTAGCTGTATTTGTCCTACGACAAATACACAAGGGTGTGTGAAGGGCCAAAGTACATGAACAGGTATATCGATGCACAGGAAGCGGGCAGATGAGACTGAAATGGGGTTGGTGGCTTCGAAAAAGGGACGATTGAAGAAGCCATGTTATAGTTTTTTTTTTTCTTCATAAATAATGATACAACCAGTTATTAAAATTATCTGATTGATTTCATGCAAGCGTAGGCGCTTGTGAATAAATTAGAATTATATAGAATTACGTCAACTGGCTTTGCTTTGGTGGCAAGTACCGTTTGGCCTTCAGAGTCTGACTCAACTCAATTCGTATTACTTTTTGCAGCTGCCGTTTTTCTGCTTAACTTGTTTTTCAGAGTATTTCTAACTTTGAAAGCTGTTCCGATTAACGTGTGCACAACTAGTTTTAATTGCATTACCCTTATCATAGTTTCAGCCATAGGCGTCTATAAGGTCTTTTGTTCATCAAATTAATTAAACGTTAGGCAGAATATTAACTATGGCGCATAGCGAGTAGATTAAGCGAAAGTTTCTCAGTTTGTGCAAACTTCGAGAATGCATAACAATGGATACGGTAAGACAGGTATTATTGCACTTCTCACTGAAATCGAAAAGACCTCTTAGAAAATAAAACAAATCTAAAACCTAATCATGCATGTATGTATATATATCGATAAACAAACCGGTCGAATACCCGCTCTTAACATTAAGCTCCAAGTAAAATGGCTTCGCTTCAAGTATGTATTTTGTCGAAAACAGTGCCTGGGCAAAATGTATTGAGTGCCTGCGTTTGTCCGTAAAGCGTATGATTCTCCTGTAGGACAACTTACTGAAATCAAAGGAAAAAACCATTCAATATGAACGTTACGCTTATCAACATACTAATTACAGCGTAATCAGATGGAGCGGTGGCTGAGATTTCAATCTGATCGGTAATCTATAATAGCTATTATCCGGTTTGTTTGCTCATATGTGTGTGTGTGTGCGTGTGTGTGTGTGTGCGTCTGTATAATGCTTGCAGTTATGAAGATATAGCAAGTTAGGGACAGTAAGGCGATGACAGAAGATTAACGTTGGCAATCCGAACTGTCGCCTTCGGATTAGTTCTTCTATCGGTTCGTCGGTGATATCTTTGACTTCAGGGATTTTGGTATGTTCCTTTATTTAGTGACCTAACCGACCGGCAGTATCCACTTCACTGTGGATACCAGCCAGCCATCACTCTAGAGGCACCTCAGATGCAGCTTTCGTCTACTTGGGTTCTTTTCGAGCCCTCCTATCTCCCCTTGGGGTACAAGACGATTTGATACACATGCCATGATATTAAGTCGGTCTGAAAGTTGCACGGAATCGTGTATCGCCATGCGCGATCATAGCTCTCGCCTAACGACGACTGGTCAGAAAATTCAGGCAGCAAAAAGAAAGGAGCTTTCATTATACGCAATTGCTCAGCTGACAAAGATGCGTTGTTCGATTAGCCGACCACATCGAATATATCCAAGCATTTCAATAGTTCTTAACTAGCTGATTTTGATTGATATAACTTTTAACTTTGCATTGGTACATTTACTGTAGACTGAAGTGATTGTGATTTTTACGTCAACTGAAACGTGGTTACTGACGTTCGTTCTCTAAATGATGGCACACTTAACAAAAGGACCTATTGCAGGAGTCTGACGAACTAAAGCTATCGTTGTAACCTACGTCAGGACGTGCAGCGATGCAACATGCGGCACACGTATTTGTACCACGCCCGCTATTAATTTTAGCTCATAATTAGGTTGGCTTTGTATGCATCGGCAATCGATATATCATCGTTTTCACGACCTGCAAATATCCATTCTTGTGGAATTTTTAATGATCTACATATATATATATATATATATATATATATATATATATATATATTATCTTCGTAATACTACCTAAAAAACTCGGGTATCTGCTTAGATTTACATAATCCATACTCATATTTATCTACTGTTTCAGACATATTGTATAGCTCTTTGACGGTTCGTCTATGCTTTTGCTATGCATCGATGTGTTAAGAATGTAATAAAGCTCAATGGATCGATACATGTCCTAAGTAAAGAAACATTATCGGACGATGTATGCCATAACGTAAAAAAATAATGTTCCCCAACATGAGATCACAGCAGAAATCGCCTCTTACTCCATGTACGAGTGTCTAACTAAGAAAAGATCGTTACGTTACGTTTTATTGCCGCATGTTGTTTGTATCAACTTGTATTTGGCTATTTTAGCTAACTAAACCGTTAACATGTGTAGAACGTAATATTGACTTGTCAGGCGGCCCGGTAACAAAGGATAAATAGACTCTATCCTATCTGGGTTAAAATCCATTCAAGTCAAGATTCCTTTTCTAGGTAAACCGTTAGGCATCACTTCGGACCGGCCTTGTGCGATTCCCTTGCAGCAGAGTTATGGAGCTGTGCCGCCATAGTAGCCATTTATCAGAGCCAAAATTTGAATCAGCGATGGCCACAAGTGATCATGGCAACGCATTAAAAGAATGCGCATCGGCTGCCTACACGACGCGTCCCCTTTCATCGGCGTTGTCGAAATATAACTGAACAAAGCTATATACATATAAAAATAGCCGCAGTGGTCACGTGTTTACAGATTAATCGTAGTACGTACTTCGACGGCCAGGTTGGGTTGATATCCGCCAAGGTGCGCATATAGTAGTATATAGTGTTGCGTGATTCATCTCAGCTGCTGGCTTCTATATCGATGACGACATCATACCAAGCTACGTTACGAGACAGGATTTTAGTCTAACAAATCTGGGTCTCGCTAACCAAAGCATCAGAACTTACCGCTGGTATTCACAATGTAAACTAATAAGGGCCAATAATGACTTGATAAAGCGTAATAAGTTATCTATTCGACGTACGGCCTTACTAGGCTGTTTGAATTAACTGAATATCCTTTCGTTGGTTATTGGCACATATTATCATTATGTTATGTTACATAGGGAGTTACCCTATGCTCTATTGCGCATACTCCCTCGTTACCGTGCAAAGAACATAGTTTTATGAGGAGACTTTATGCCAATCGTAGCGAGACTCGAGAGATCTATGCTCTTTTGTGTGTCCAATTTTAAACTAATTAAATCGTTAACACTTCAGCGAACAGCGTAAAAAGAAGTCCAAAGACAAGATACTCGTATCTTGAAGTTCGCGCCATTTAAGTATGGCCCTCACGCACATACAAATTAGTTTCGATTTTTCATACGAGACTTCTATACTGAGCCCTTTGATTTCAGCAAAGCATGAAATCTAAAGACGGAGAGTAAAAGCTTGCAATGTAAATTGCTTGGTTTGAATCCCGTGTGCTTTGAGCCGTTAGACAAATATTAACATGGCAGTTAACTCTACACACTGCTAATATTTCGAGTAAAATCTAGCGTTTTGTTTCCTTTGTCAGACTAATTTGTGTGTGAATGTAATCTTTTTTCAGGTTAAATGGGTCCTACTAATGGGACGAAACCTAGTCATAATGTGGGTCAAACGTACTAGCAATTATTTATTATTCTCGTTGAGCTTGTAAAATGAATGACTGCATATCGTTTGGGGTAGTTGCGGACCAGGGACAGCACTGTGAAAACGCGACCGCAATAGTGCCTCTACAGAGGAGAAAAAAAGTTTTCGGATGCGGATCCCCAAGGAAGGTGACCTGGGAATGGAGGAGGTATTCTGGACATGCCCCCCATGTTATCTCTGGATCACCAGGGCACGCGTACCGATTTACACACATACGTAAATATAACCGTCTAACAGACTACGACAATCCGTTTGAAATGTCAGCTAGCACTCAGCTGTCAGCTGCGGAGCACGACGGTATCTCATGTCACTTCGTTTTATGGTTCGTTAAATTTATGTTGTATCTTTGCTCCCTTACGCGGGTGGGCTATCGCGACTGTTCAGGTCTTTACGTAGCGTAATATGCAGAAACACCATGCTATGTCCTAAAGAGCTGAATATAACCTCGATTCTAACTAAGCTAACATACTCCAACGCAAAAGACGTTAACTATTGTGTCACACATTATACAATTACAGTACAATTAATAACAAGGATAAAATACGAAGAAAACAACACGTATTTTTCGCAACCTCATAGTTTTATATGCATATATTTTATCACTCTGGGATCTGTTGATAAGAAGATTAGGTCGAGTTCTGTACTCTTCATTCACTCAAAACATTCTCTGCATGGAAGAGCCCATGTTTGTTTTTCTTCATTTAGGTACTCCACTATTGTATCAATAGGACGCTTGTTTATCAAGATAGTAAAATAATAAAATTAGCAATTGCTATTTTCCGTTGTTTCAGGGCTCCGCGATGGTTGTGTGGGTACATCTGTGCTGATCGATCCTGAAAGGCAGCCGGACGGAGGGAGACACTGGCGCCTTCCGCAGATATGACATCGACGAATATCCTAAGGACGCTAGTCACATCAGTCGTGCTCCTGGAACTACTTCTACCAGGACCACAGCGGCATTATGCCAACGCCGTTCACTTAGGTGAGCTGAAATAATAACACATCGGAGGATAGCTGTGATATTCTAAAAGATCTACTGAATAGATTAGTGAAGTTGACTTGACTTGAAAGGCTCGTAGCCTTGGGACTACCCAGAGATTTAACGGAAGGGTCCCAGGGACCAAGTCGGATTCGATTTTGGCAATCATAGGTCTTTTTGCAGCTCTCTGTGATACGATGAGCACGCTTTCATAGCATACATGGACTTATTGGAGAGCCGGTGAATGTCACGACGAAATAGGTCCTTTTAAGTGGGTAATTGGTACGCATATCGAATGCCGTCGAAAAGATCTTGCGGAAGTGGAATAAAATACATTAGTATATTTGTCAAAAACTCCTCTGTTTCATGGCCTGAAATAAAGATTTAGTAAATCGTTAGTTTTAATTCAGTTAATAACGGACTCCTGTATCGTTTGCGCATATAGCTCTTCCTGCTGGGACCGTACACGCCAAGGATAAGACCGTAATTTGTCCTGTAATCAAAATAGATATTGATATGCAAATCATAAGCACATTTATTTAGATAGAATAATTACTTGTGATTGATTCTGACGTACAGCTGAAGGCAACGAGGCCGTATTTCCAGAAAGAGAACTACAAATATCGTTTTGTGGAAATAATTAATGATTTATAAGCTTTGTCCCTTGTTCCTTGCAATGGGGTGGCTATCTGCATTGGAATTGCCCGCAGCAGAGCATCTATCGCCGAAGTTGAATGGCTGTCCTGCTAAGACTATATTCCTTGATGGCCCGACAGGCCTGGCTGATTATCGGCTACTGCCAATGAGTAAAGGAAGACATCTTCCGTGAATACGTCTTTGCTCAGCGAAATGATACCTTTCTTCCGAAATCGTCCAACGATATTTGCTATCGTAAATGATTTCTCGTGAGCACTTTTTGTCAATTTGGCTATTTCATAAGTTGTGATTTGTCTTCCGTAAGTAGTTGCAAACTTGTGTTTAACTACACGGACTCGAGCTTTAAATGCCCCAGAAACCGCCATGTCTAGGGTTTGTTATGGTTTATTTAAGCAATGTAGAGGAAGGATAACGATGTGGACGCCGTCCGTTCTCCAAAGCCAGCTTGATTGTACTCAGACTTTCGCGGGCCTCGTAGCTATCCGTGACTAGAACGCATGGCTTCTACAAGCGAGTGGTTATTAAGGATAGTTTTCAGACATCTATTTTGCGATACATTCGGACAAGTTTGCATAGAACCTTGGCATACAACGGATGCCCCCTTTAGCATATGTTCTTAAAGTCCGTTCTAATAGGGAAAAACTCTGTTTCTAGCCATGGGCACGAAGACCAGCGCTGCAATAGTAATTTATGTCATTTGCGTAACGAGTTCCGTTCCTTCAGACTTAGTCACTATTGAAGAATCCATTGCTATAAGTCGTTTACACTAACGATATTTGAAGGAGTAAAATTGTATGTAACTAACCTTGTTTTAAGCCTAGTACAGCCTTGTATGGAAACAAAATATGCTCCTTATGTAGTCTTTTGACATGCATCTCTATTGGGGAAAAAGCCTCTATCTACAATAGCCGCTGCTGTTTTTTGCACTCTTGAGTTATGTTCTGTCTTTTTTGCAATGCACGGACTTGCTTTGAGATTTTGAGCCTGCTAGCAGCTCACCATTCCAACAATTTCTACGGAACGGGTCAAGAGGTGCGACCTCGTCGCTCTTGTACAAGCAATGGCGATAGGAAGTACCAGAAGGGCAGGATGTTTCAAATGATTGCGTAAAAGCTTAGCGGCTTAGCTGCTTAATAGAGCACAACGCTCGGGTCATTTGTAGACGTCGAAAAAAAAATACATAACTGGGTCAATGACCCCACCCTCTAAGTTTATTTTCAAATAAGAATGATATGATATGCATACATTTAAAGGACTTTAGGAACTCAATAGTATTAGACTATTGAAATCAACGTCCCTGGCGAAAAAACGGACCGGTCCACGTAGCCTCTATCCCATACAGCCTTACGCTCCCCTTTTTAAACTTAAAAATTATAGCAAAATTATGTACGTTTATATGTAATGTATCAAACTTCGAAAAATCCTGTCACCTGTATGTTTCCTTCATATTTACAACGTCTCGTCTATGTTCTCGTTTCCTTTTCATGTAATAAACATGCATTAGTGTGAAGCATTTATAGATGTTCAATGCTCGTAATGTCTTGTTTGCGCCTGCCGTCTATGACCTTGTAGATTTGTGTTGAAGACACATGTCGCTCACTGGGATCTGACTGACATGTTAGTATTTATTGTGATAAGGGGATCAGCCAAACATGATTCTAAGCAGGGGTCAGGTGTTGCTGCGAATTCTGTCAAGTTCGCTATGTCCCCTTAGTGACACAGCAGATTGTCCTCCTTCCTTCAATACTAATGCCTTTACCTAAGAAGATACACATACAGCATGTATATTATACATCTGGACCGCCTGCCTGCGCACCTATTTCGGTTTGGCCTTTTTTCTTCTGGGTCAACTAATATTTGCGCGTTCGTCATTACTATTCAATCAATATAAATCAAGGCTTGAACGCGGTCAGGGATATTGTTCTAAGCAGCTACATATGTATGCGCGTGCATACGCATACGTGCTAGGTGCAGTGCAGTAATATTACCACCAATTCTAATTGAACTCATGTTGATACGATAATTCTAATTTAGGACAAGAACTGTCAGGTTAGGTTGTGTCGTTGGGCGCTTTATTGGTGTTACAGATGCCTTACAGAAAAAGTTCTTAAGGCATACGTTGAGAGCAGCATGCTGGCAATAGTGCGAAGGCTAGTGAATACTGAACTAATGGCAAGGTACTTGAGGCAAGACCACAGCGTGTAGCTAACGAATAGGATATGCGAAATGTTTAGTCCAAGTTGTTACACTCCGAACGAACGGTGTTAGCACAAAGTTCCATTGAAACTGCCTAGGTACATATGTTATCCAAGTATCGCTGTTGTTCATGGGTGCCGAAAATCCCCGTGGCTCTGTTGAGAGCACAAAGGATCAGACAATTAGATGTCCGAGCTGTCCGTTATTCAGATTAAGCGGATTTTCTTTAGTTTGGTTATATATGATGTTTAGAATAACATGACGTGGAAAAAATCATAGACGGCCCCATGTCAGGATACGGTGCCGAAATGTTAAAGTAGGAATACACTTTATTGAAGTTATTACGCTAATTAGAAAAGCAAGTTTCATATGACGATTTTTTACATGTACGTTTACCTTACTTAAATGTACATTTAATTATTTTGATTGTGACAAATATTTCTTGCCGACCTGACATTATGAAATAAACAGTAAAAACCGAATCTGTTGTATCGATTGTAGATGCTCAAACAAATGGAGTTTCATTAACAATCTTCGAACATTTAAGTTACCTGTTTTTGTCCCTGCAGGTAGACGTTATCGTTTAAGGAGCGACCTATGAATATACACCTACAAGAGTTTCACTGATATCGGAAAGTCCACAGTGAGGTTAGCCACGCAACATCAGGAGACCTGTGTCAGACATTCAAATACAGTTGACTCCTTCCTAATCTCCCATTCTCCATAGTAAGCTTTACACTCAGCTGTAATTTAACTTTGCCCACTCTGATCCTCTTCTGCTGGTAGTTTTCACAGCTGTTTTTTTCACGATCTCTATAAAAAGTCATCTTAAACTGGGACAGCAAACGAAGGCCACGCCATTATCGTATCCCATGAAACTGAAATGAAATCTTCTTTAGAAGCAACTTTCAATAGTCTCACCTTCAGTGACCCACTATTCATAAGCCATCGTAAAATGTTTAACGTAGGCACGCAACGACCGAATCAAATATTTCCAGATTTCATTGTTCTACCTAAAAGTTATGGTAGTAATAAGCCATTCTTCTCTAGTTTTTCGCCTTCCCCAGCCCTCATTAATGAGGGCATCAGATTTTCTTAATGAATACTTCTTTCTGCCTTTTTTTGTCGCCCTATCGAGCTAAATGGGTCGTTTGGTAGAGGCAACATTTTGGTTCGAATCTCAGGTTTGGCGTGCTAGAACAGGGAACTACTACTGTTGGTTCTATACGAGAATCGGTATATGTTTCACTGGGCATCTTGTAATGGAGGCATGGCCAAAAAACCAGCAACACGAAGCATTACCATTAAGCTAGCGGGCCAGCGACCATGCGCCCAAAAAGAAGCAGACCTCAGCAAAGTGCCAGTACGACCCTTCCTAGTCTCTTGTCGTAAAGACGAATGTAAAATGAATGCGTTCCATTATCGCAAGGATTCATGAGATTATAGTTTCTTCATGCAGGAACTAGGCGGTCTCCGACGCTGAGCAGAGTTTCTTGCTATTCGCCGCCGCTGTTGTCGTCCCGCTTCTCAGCTGCATCCGGTGATGGCCGCTATTCCGACTGCTTGAGTTTTTTTCGTCTCATTGTGAAGCTCTTCATTGCTGCGTAGTGCTTTAGTCCCGGTTTCAGGGGCAAATTTTCCCAACAGAATTGGATTGGAAAGCCGAGGAATTTTCCAGTCGATGAAATTAGAAAGACCACTAGACAGCGGCCTCCCCTCCGTCCAATTCTCTCTGACCGGCTTTTGGTCACCGCCGCCGTCGCTGCCTCCGTTCTCATAATTTTTTCTGTTCGTTCTTCCTTTACGTTGTCCCCTTTTCCGCAAAGTCCATCGTTGGCTGCTGTTGCCTTAATCGGGATGGTTTTCGACCCTCTCGACCCCCGCCGCCTTTTTTCCTTCGCCAAGACTATTTGCACATTTCGCTTTCTTCGCATCGTCAAACAAGCTAAATTTGAGGCTCTGTGCCTTGACTCCCGGCGACGCCACCGAACAGTGAGCGGATCCGGCGCAATGAGAGAGAGGCCAATTGTGGGTGAGTAAAAGAGCTGGGGAATAAGGGGCCAGTGTTTCGTGTTCTCAATATGAAATAGCAACCGAGAAATGCGGAAGCAGAAGAGCTGAGCGAGTGCAGTGTTAACTAGATCGTCGAC